GGACACGTTATTATAAAGTATGATTGGCAACCCTAGTATATATACATATACTACATTAGTATAGCGTACCGCACGGTCCATATACACGACATTGTATCGCAAGATGCAAATCGCCTATTCAGTCACTAATAGGCGTAGCGGCTAAACAGATCACATGTTTACAAAATCTCTAATGCTCCGCCATCTTGGAATAGGCCGCGACTTATGTAGCGACGATCTCGGCCGACAGGTAGCGCACGACTGGCGCGATGCGAGCCGCGGTACAAACGTCGGCGATGCGACTCGTGTACGACCAGCGGTAGTCGCTTGGAGACTAAAATCGTAGAGTATCAAAGAATTGAGTAGTCTTGTGTACGAAGGGCCTTATTCTGACATTTCCACGAGCATGACAGGCCGACGTGCCCCAATCTACTGCCATAAATTGAGTTCCCCAATCCCCCACCTGTTGCCTGCGTTTGTTTACTGTTTCACTGCCTTCGAAACGGATCGGAACACTCCCGAAAAATTGTTACATGTCCATTCGCCCCCACAAACGATTTTCACTTATATCTGTAATGGATAAGAGATTAAATTTCCGTGACTACACTTTGACTTGTATTTTTATTCGCATTATAGTTTTTTATAATTTTAATTTATAAGATTGGAACGTGTATGTTCTGACAGTGTAGTATGTACTTTATTGTGTCAATTATAAAGATTTGTTTTGCATATTGCGTGATGTGTAGTTAGAATTTTATATAATGCAACTCATTGCGATACACGGCCAGCGAGTAACGTTGGCATATAAAAAATTTCACTAGTTACTTACATGAATGTCAGTACAAAGGGAACCTCTATCTACCTCTCTACCCCATCTTTAGATGGTCACGGGTTCGAATTCCGCAGACACATTGTATAAAGGGAATATTTACTATCATTACTTTATATAATATATTTTTTATTGCACTTTTAAATATAGTAGTAAACTTAATTATAAACAAAGTGAGCAAAGGTAGACTAAAAGATATCTCTACCAGTCACCCTAACAGTGTGGCATAACTATTATTTAGTGGGTAACACTAGTGCAACGAACAATATAATGTTATGTCAAAATTTTGAAAATAAACATTTAAAATTCAACAAATTAAATCTTATATATAAAATTCTCGTGTCACAATGTTAGTTGCCATGGCCACTAACTATTTTTCATAACCCAAACTGATAAGTAAGTCTTGTCCACCATTTTTTATTTTTTGGACATTTTTTTTATAATGTCTGACACATTATAAAAAAAAACGTGCCTAAACAACAAAGTTTAGTACTTTCACACTGCTATCATCAATCCCTATTTTTAGCGATTTGAATTTATATGGCAACACAACGTTTGCGGGATCAGCTAGTAATGTTCTAATTATATCATTTAGGTATTTATATATTTTTAATTTAAAAGAATAGTTATTTGTAAACGCGACTTTGAATCTTCATTTTTTAAATATTATCAATCGTTGTGATACATCCGTATATATACGTCACGCCTGTCTCCCACTGGAGTAGGCAAAGACAATACTCGCTAAATACTCTGTTTCATACATACTTATTTTCCTTCGTCTACATTTATTTACTTATTCATACGTTGGCCAGTTACGGCACAAACACTCGTTACATTATTTAGTCTTCTAAAATTAAAATTGTGTTTCTAGCGTCGTAAATAACTTTCACAATAGCTTTCTTTGCATTAATCTTTAAACTCCACTTCATACAAAAACAACACAACTCAAAAATAATTTATAGTCTGTCAAAAAGGAAAACCACCAAATGATTTAAAACACTTGGCAAATAGCCAGTACTTATTTCAGTCTAGCAAATACTCCGCAAATTGGCTAAATATTTAGATCGTAGAAAAGGTTTCAGCGAATATATCTGTTCAAATATATTTATTTTTCTATTTTTTACTCCATGTAAAAAGCTGAAGTTGTGTATCGGTATATTTCAGAACTAGTAGTACTAAAATTAATAGGTCAAACAATTTGGACCTTGGACCTTCTCCATATGTTTCTGAAACTGAAAAAAATATTTATGAAAATATCATGTATGCCAGGAAGAATATAGACAGTTTCAAAAGAGTTAGTGATTGCACTAATAAAAGCTTACGTAACAATAATAAACTGATTTTACCTAAATGTCGTTTGGCTAAAAATTCGTTTTATGGCAATTGCGTAAGGTTTTACAATAAAATACCAGAGTCTGTTATAAATCTGCCAGAAAAAAGATTTAAAAGTCAAATAAAACACTTCCTTTGCAAAAAAGCTTACTATAAAATTGAAGAATTCGTTAACGATAATAATGTTTTTGTAGATAATTTTTAAATACATAGCACTGACAATATTATCTGATTACACTAATAATGAGTGCGTAGCGATTTCTATGTTGATTGTCGCATGCCTCTTACTTGTTACACTGTAATTATTTATATAAAAAAAACATCTATTAAAAAGAGCAACACACAAGTTTCTTGCTCATTCTTCTTGTGATGAATCTGCATTCCGAATGAGTGGTAGAATCAAAATATGACTATTCAAAAGTGCTTGTAATGAGTTTATTTGAATAAAGATTATTTCTATTTCTATTTCTATTTCAAACATGGACCTTTAAATCGCACGAAAAATCTAAAAAAGATGCTTACGAGATGTGGTGCTGGCGCAAAATTTCATGGATGGAGTTGTATTCTACATCTTTTTTTTTCTTATGGATGATAATGGAATAGTGCACCCGCCTGGGACAACGGTTTACGCTGGCGGAGCATCAGTGGAAGATGATGAGATGACCCTCATGGTCATCTCATCATCCTCCACTGAGGCTCACTGTCAGGTCTGTTAGCCCATCTGATAAATTCATGCTGAATTTACCACAATTGTTTCTAGGAGGAACCACATGGAGATCAACCTGATCAGAAGCCGTCTCTCTACTGTGTGCTTCCAGCGTCTGCTAACTTTGTTATGTCACGTGCTCCATCGGGAACCAGATAATTTAGAGAAATGTATAATAGTGGCCACTTGGACGGAATAAGGGGAGATGTAGGGTAACCTGTTCGAGATGCCGCCAAGGCTCAGGATGTCGTAATTTCGATCAAAGGGGCAATTCTATTCGATTCTAAGCAAATACATTTGCTCAGAATATACAGCAAAATATTCCAACCTCGCGTGTAGCACGACCTAGTACATATCTACTAGTACCTTTATTTTTTTATCTAATTATTTGTCAAAACTAATTAGATAAAAAAATAAAGATCTAGTACCTCTATTTTTAGGTACTTTTTGGCTATTATGCCATACTTTTTTCCAAATGAGTTTGTTTACAGTCTTTAGATTATTTAAATATGTAAATATATATATTTTTTTATGAATTAATAAACAAAACTGCAGATAGCAATGGAGTATTAATGCAGGCATAAAAGTAAAAGTCAATATATCACACACATTAACTAAATGAATACAAATTTTAGAAATACCACCTTAAAATTTATAACGTAAAGTCGATTCTCCAGTATTTGTAAAATTGAGTTGATACACTTTATTATTTAGCGTACAATATCTTCTTTCACCCGCAAACGGATCCGCGTCATTTCTGCTAACTGTACACGCACACAGCGTCACGTATATATGTGTGCATATGTGAATCAAAACAGGGACGCAGGAGTCGACGACTTTTGGCGTATGATTATATTAATTTTTCTGATACTGAATGTCACCTCTACCATCCGCTGTAAACAATAACTAGCTGTGCCCGCGGTTTCACTCGCATTAAATTTCAATATACACATACAGTACAGATACAGGAAAGTTCATCAATTGGTTGTTTTAAGAAAAGGTTGAAATCGCACTATTTATGACCTTAGTATGATTAGTTTCATCATGTATTTTATTATTTGTATTTTGTGTAATATATGTAGATATCTATAGTAATTGTATATGTATGTATATATATAACTTTTATAATGTTTTTATTTATTTATTATTGTATATTTTATTATAATTATAATATAATTATAACTTTATTTAATTTGTTGAATTTTGAATGTTTTATTTTTCTCAACTTTTGGACATTTCAACATAATATAGTTAATTGCACAGGTGTTACCTACTCACTACTAGCTATGCCACACTGTTGGGTTGACTGGTAGAGATCTCTCTTAGAGATAAGTCCACTTTGCTCACTTTGTATATGTTTAAGTTTACAACTGCATTTAAAGGTGCAATAAATAATATATAAATATATTACTGTAAACTTTCATCAAAATCCGTTCAGTAGTTTTTGCGTGAAAGAGTAACAAACATCCATACTTATAAACTTTCGCGTTTATAATTTTATTAAAATTAAGATATAGCTGGTTCGTTCTTAGCTGCAGGAATAGAATGAAGCGAAAGCGAAATAAAGACAATGATTTCCCGTTTTATTAAAAAAGTAAAGTATATATATTTTAAAAAATCTTCAAATGTGTTTGTCATTTAACACGTTAAACGACTGGATATACATATGTGGATGAAACTTTGTGTGCATATTTCAATTGGTTCCCGAATGGTTTAATTACAAAATTGAACTAAATAGGTGGTGCTCCATTTCTGAGTAGGATGACTTTTGCATTATAATAATTTAACTAGAAGTAATTATTTACACAGATTGTATTTATTTGTAAAAAAAATAAAATAAATCCAAAGTTTAATCACGTCATATTTTTTAAATCTTAAAATACTAAGTTAATTCTACTATACAAAATTGTTACATATTTATTTAAATAAATTATTATTAAATCTATATTTCCAATTTACATCAAGTTCATACATAATAAACTAAGTAAATTGTTAAAGTAAACAAACGCCCACTTAACATGTGAATGGTCCATGATTCACATTTACATAACAAATGGGTTAGACTTTCACGCGCCGAGTGTTGCGCACACCTGACCGGTACCGGTGCACTCCTCCGGTCCTCACATTAATGAACTTACACGCTGTATTCTCGAACAGTCTCGCCCCACGCCAACCAAGCCTATATAAGCGTTCGAGGCAACAACGCAACCCGCATAAGATATTTCGAAAGCGCGATAAGGAAATCAAAACAAACGAAATGCTCAAATACGTTCTTCTCGCGATCGGAATTATCAGTGTCGCGTACAGTGGTGAAATAAAACGACAAAGATTTAGAGACTCTTTTGAAGAACTCGACCGATACATCAGTCATGCACTCTCGCATCACTATCTGTGGCCTTGGAGTCAGATAGTTAGAACAGCAGCTGCTATTGATTCCGAAGCTAATTTCGATGGTTCTAGAATAATATCAAACGATAACAAGTTTGAAATTAAACTAAATGTTAAAAGATTTAAACCGGATGAGTTAAACGTCACTGTAAATAAACACAATATAATTGTGAATGGAATTCATAAGATTGGTATTGATGATGGACAGATATACGTAAAGAATAGGATGTACCAGCGATTCGATTTGCCGCCGGAATGTAAGTCTGATGAAGTGAAGGCAATTTTGAATGAAAATGGTATCTTAAGCATATGGGCACCAAAACACAAATTACCTCCACCACCACCGGAAAGGCAAGTGCCTATTGAAGTTAGGTTACCAGTGGAGAAAACAGAAACACCGATAGAAGACAGCACAGAAGAAGATACAACAGAAAAAGAGGACGAGGAATTGGTGAAAAATAAAACAAATAAAAAGAAGGAGACATTTGTTGATAAGATAGATGCTGTTAAATTTGTGGAGCCCACCAAGTTATCAACTGCATCTCCATTGTTGCAACAAGAAGACACAACAACTCACGTTGGTAAAATAAGGAAGAAGGAATTAAAATCTACAACAAAAACAGTAAAAGAAAATGAAGTAACGAAAGGTGGAGAAGGCAATGGTCTAGATTATTTGCTCATAGACGGAGAAGCAGTGGAATGAAGAACAAATATTGGAAATGTGTGTGAAAGACTGACTGAAGCTTTAAGTTTCGAGTGATAAAACATTGTAGCAATTTTTCTAGGGATTCATCAACCGAAAGTAGAAAGCGTGTTGTTCCCAGTGATTTATTGTGGTTATTTGTTTTATAAATAAACATGTTATTTATTGTAAGTAATATTTTTTCATTTCATTTCGCTCTAGGGATGCCGTAATGCCTCGTAATATTTTGGTTTATGATACCGTGCTGTTTATGTTAATAGCTAAAAAGGCACGGATTCGTTTATTACGATACGTATATTTGATGTGTCTGTTTACTTTGTAAGATAAATGTTACACATTTTGGTTTTAATTAAACACGAATATTGCATTAATAATAACAAACTTCAATGATATCCATCGAAATAATTAAAATATTGATAAGTCAAGCAAAAAGAGTGTTCTTTTATTTAAAACTTTATTGGATAATCGAAAGGGCATGAACAAAATTAAAAGATTTCAAATAAAACTAAACACAAAAGTCAGTTTTGTCGCTAAATCTTATCACTTTTTATTAAAATTACGCTGACTGAGTATGAAATTTGGATCAGTTAAAGTTCATATAAAGAGTGCAGAAGATTTGGTTATTTTGTAATAATGGTTATGATATATATTTTTTTAATTAATAAAAAAACTATTTTACACACACTACTCTGCGATTGACAAATATATAGCTACTCTTTTGTCTATAGTCTTTGATGATATAATCTTAATAACATTCGAAATTTAATTTTATGTAAATTATAGTTGAATTTCAGTCACTAGTAATTACAATTAATAACTAACTATTTTGAAATAACAAGAAATAACTATTTTGAAATATTTAATTTATTTTCAATTGGAAATTTTCAATTAGTTCAAGGGTCTATGACATAATTGAATCAAAATCTTCATTATTTAAATATATAAATATAATATTTATACATATAAGTAATATGTATAAATATTATATTTAAATATCTAGGTGTTAGAACTTACTTTTAAAGACAAGAGAGGAAATCAGAACAATTGAGCTATAGAGCTTTGATTATAGTTTACTAGCTATTCGTCCCGGCTTCGCACGGGTGTACATGTATTATACATATAAACCTTCCTCTTGAATCACTCTATCTATTAATAAAACCGATTCAAAATCCGTTGCGTAGTTTTAAAGATTTAAGCTTATATACGCAACGGGACGGATTATATTAAAGGGATGGATAGACAGCTGCTTTGTTTTATACTATGTAATGACTATATATTAATTTATTTCCTTATGCGAGCAGCTAAGGAGTGGAACTCTCTACCAGCGTCTATTTTTCCTGCCTCTTACTACATTGGGTCTTTTAAGTCAAGAGTGAATAAGTATTATTTGAGCTTGCATGTAACAGCTTAGACGACATCATCACTTAACATCAGGTGAGATTGCGGTCAAACGCGCTCAAATTATGATATAAAAAAAAAAAAATTTTTTGTGGTATTTAAGTAATAAATAATATAACCTTACATATGACCAAACAAAATGAAGAACTCCTTTCTCTTAGACTCTGAATAACAAATTGAAATGATATTAACGTTAAATAATATCAACAAATTAGTTTTGACAGCCTCGGTGGTCTAGTAGTATAACATACCGCTTTACTATCCGATGGTCGCGGGTTCGATTCCTCGTACGGTACAAACATTTGTATTCATGAGTATGATTGTTTATATCGGCCTGGGTGCCTTCTACGTATAATATGTAGTTATGTACAAAAATATATATATTCCGCCATCTAGTACCAAGCTAAGCAGAGCTTGTATATATTTTGTCTTGAGGTATTATTATTATAATATCTGTAATAATTTCTTATACAATGTCCAAAAGTTATTTTTAAACGTCCATTAAATTTTCTCGATCAGTGACCATTTGAACAATTTCCATAAAAAAATAATTTCATTTGAAAATGTTGCTTTTAGTATAAATTTAGATCGTGTTACAATCAATTTGACGGTTTGATTGTTTTCTTATCACTGAACACGACTGTGGACTCCAGAGTCCAAACTTTTTAATGTTAATATAGAGCATGAAATAATTCTCGAATTGGTTAAATATTTCATTCATTCATTCATAATTTAAGAGCTAAGCTCCTGTTGGTGAAGCTCTCGCTAATTGCTAAGATCTTATATTATTTTTTTTGCATGAAAGCGTAACAAACATCCCTACTTTCAGATTTATTATATTAACTAGTTGTTCCCGCGATTTTGTCCGCGTGGAATTTATTTATCTAAATTAAAAGTAGAACTAAAAATTATTTTGTTCGTCTAATTTGTTCCATTAGGTACTGATAGGTTCAAACTAATATATCCTTATTTTATCCCCATGGGGGTTGAATTTATCAAAATCCTATTTAAGCGAACGTCTTCATCATAGTAACTCCAATCTTTAATTTCAATTCAATCAGTCGAAAATTTAAGAAGATTTATACAAACTTTCATCCCCTATTTTATCCCCTTAGGGGTGGAATTTATCAAAATCCTTTCTTAGGGGATGCTTATATCATAGTAGCTTTATGCATGCAAAGTCTCAGTCCGATCGGTTCAAAATTGACAAAGTTTCATCCCCTATTTTATCCCCTTAGGGGTAGAATTAATCAAAATCCTTTCGTCCTTTCCAAATTTCAGCCCGATCCGTCCAGTGGTTTAAGCTGTGCGTTAATAGATGACTATGTCAGTCAGTCACCTTTGAGTTATATATATTTAGACAAAAAAAATAAGAATGTCTTAATCTCATGTATAACCTATGTTACTGTAAAGTTTCATCAAAATCCATTCAGCAGTTTTTGTGTGAACGAATAACAAATATCCATCCATACTCACAAACTTTCGTATTAATAAGATTTTTATATATGATATAGCATATTTGTCAGACAGAAATTGAATTGGTGTCCGTAATACAAGCAGATCAGTCCTCATGAAAGTTCATTGTTAAAATTCTATTTATAGTCGCTTAAAGCCTACATTTAACTACTTTTTTAAGGAAAGAGTGAGATCCTCAAACAGTCTCCAGTAAATAATTATACAGCTTCTTTTAATTAACTGCGATTGAGATGTTTTTCATAAAAATTACTACATAATTTTCGCCCTGTTCATTAAATATTTCCTTTCACGGTCGGTACGTACTGTACTGTTATTTAAATACAAAATATTTCTACAGATGAAAGAAGGTTATTAATATTAAATAAGTTCTGGATTACGTTTTAAACAAACGAGATGTATTTAAAAAGTGTATTAACACCACAATTCAATTCAATTCAATTCAATTTATTTACTGGAACATGTGTACATAATGATCTTAAGATTATAATAGTTCCAAACATGCCCTGCCGTTTCCGGCGTGTAAAATCTTACAATAATATTTATTACATTTACATTATTATCACATTTTTATATTTAAAATTATTATTACAATACATTATTATGAAATTATTTTATTTAAAACTATTAATACAATCCATTATTATCATTTAAATAATCATTTGTGGAATAATAACATTTATTTAATAATTCTTTAAATAACTAACCACTGTATCATCATTATCATTACATAGTATAAAACAAAGTCGCTGTCGCTGTCTGCCCCTATGAAATTTTTAACCTATCTCTAAACCTCTAACCTTAAATTTTTGAAATTACGCAACGGACTTTTTTTCGGTGTTTTTTAATAGATAGAGTGATTCGAGAGGAAGGTTTATATATATATAATACATGTACACCCGTGCGAAGCCGGGGCGATTAGCTAATCTGTAATATATAAAGCTGAATGACTGATTGATATAGTTATTATTCTCGCAGGAGCGCTGGGGGGTCGGGACGATGTAAGGGTGGAAATGTTGCTTTAGTTAGGGTGACCACGAGAAAATTCCGAAATTTGGAAACATTCAAGATCTGTACGCACCCATACGAAGACGGGTCGGGTCGTTAGTCATTATATAGTATAAAACCAAATCACTGTCGCTATCTGTCCGTCCCCACACATAAATCTTTAAAACTACGGAACAGATTTTGAAGCGGTTTTTTTAAATAGATAGAGTGATTCAAGAGGATGGTTTATATGTATAATACACTCATGCAAAGCCGGGTCGGGTAGTTATGAATAAAATGACAGACAATGTTGTAGCACTCCGCAGTGCACAAGTGTCAGCCATAATAAAATGCAATGTCAGGTGTTGTGAGAGCGGATGGAAACATCGCGTCAAAATGCTTATAGGTACTTGTGTACGACAGCAATTCAATGCTCCGAGTAGGTACTGTATAGCTGTATTTATAGTCTAGTAAAAGTAAGAAAGAAAAGAAAGAAAGAAAATAAGTTTATTTGGTACACATAACAAAAATAATTTTTAAATTTTAAATGACATTGACATTTGTATCAATTAGATAGTACCAAATGGAAACTTATTGGCTCAGCATATGTCGTGACAGGGTGCCGCGATACTGCTATTCTGCGGATACGTTCCTACATATAAATATAATAATAATATACATACATACATAAATCTAGGCACATAATATTGATTAAACATCATTAAATATAAAACAATATAAAACATTTAAATCATTAATATAAAACAAAGTCGCTCTCACTGTCTGTCCATCCTTATGTATGCTTAAATGTTTAAAACTACGCAACGTATTTTAATGCGGTTTCTTTTAATAGATAGAGTGATTCACAAGGAAGATTTATATGTATAAAATATGTATAATATTGTAGAGAAACACTGATAAATTTACAGATTTCTAATGTGATGTCGTAAATAAACATTTTTTTGCGCTTACATTACAAACGATGGCTGAACCCCACGATATAAAAAAAAATAATGTACTACAGTATTGTACAGCATAAAAATGTCAATAAAAAAGTCCATAATGGTACATGTCTATCTCTTAAGGATAACCCACAATAACCATTTTTATCCGATACAATTTACGGTAAAAATTTGCTTATTTACGAAGTGATTAAGTACCTTAAATACATGTTAGATTTAATATAGATCAATATGACCCTTTACAGCATGTAATTTTTCAATACATAGAGTGATTTTTTTTTCGGACTACTCTAATGCTGTTGGCCGTAGCTGGCCTTTACAGCTTCACCGGACGTTAGGGGGCGAGTGCAGATGACACTCCAAACCCGCGGAAGGACTTATGGAGCGGCTGAAGGCCAACTCCTGCCTGACGGATACGACTTTAGTCTGAGGGCACCACTAGGGGTTCGAACCTCGGCTCAGGCCGTCGTAATTTCGATCCCGTTTGAATTGGACGGGGGATCGATCGGAGGGACGCCCGGGGGCGCCGGTACATAGAGTGATTCAAGAGGAAAGTATATATGTATAATACATGTACACCCGTGCAAAGCCGGGGTGGGTAAAATAAAAAAAAAGCTCGGTAATTTATTGGACAAAATAATTCCAACGCCCTATTTGTAGTCCTGACTATAACTGCTGCAGCTGTTGTTCAAACCATACCATTTAATATCAGGATATCACGTTTCGACTGTAAAAATACATTGTTAGTAGCCAGGCGTTGCTCGCGCCTGTTTTATAGCCTCTCGAACGGTATGATGGCCACTTGTTTGTAATTTATTTTACAGCTTAATCGAGAGCATTCGTCTTAGCTCGTATCTTTATTTGCGATTTTATTGAGTTTAATATGTTGCTACGGTTCGCAATTTTTGAGAGATGAGTGTACCGGAACTAGTTGGTGTACCTGACTGCTAGTCAAGTTCACCAACTAGTAATTTTTCTCATATATCTTTCTAATACAAAATCTGGATTAATTAAATTTTTATTACGTACAATAAAAATATATTTAAATGTATACATATTCTCCACTTTAAATATTTGAGAAAGTTTTTTAATTTCTTGTTTTAGGTTTCATATACTCTTTATCACTCCATATATATAACTAGCTTTTGCCCGCGGCTTCGCTCGCGTTAATTTATCCCCTTAGGGGTGGAATTTATCAAAATCTTTCTTAGCCTACGTCATAGTAGCTTTATGCATGCAAAGTTTCAGCCCGATCAGTTTAAAATTAAAGAAGCTTCATACAAACTTTCATCCCTTATTTTATCCTGTTGGGGGTACAATTAATCAAAATCCTTTCTTAGCGGATGCCTACGTCATAACATCTACCTGCATGCCAAATTTCAGCCCGATCCGTCCAGTGGTTTAGGCTGTGAGTTGATAGATCACTATGTCAGTCACCTTTGAGTTATATATATTTAGATTATATAAAACTACGTTTAAAAACATTTTATAATAATTATGATTTGAATAAATAAATATAAAAGGAGCAAAAACTTAACCATTTTAACCTGTCTGAACGAAGGTAATATTTAAAGTTTGCTCGAGATTCGCAAAATTAATATGGAAACTCATTACCGTCGCCAGTTCAGACGGACAGACGGGCGATGCTCGCTGTAGCTCATTACTTAATGCGGAAATTATTTATACATTTTAATGGGAATCTTATATTTCTAGAAACAAGATTATTTTTAAATCTCTCTTCCAGATTATACATTTTTTTAAACAGCACGCACTTTCTTTGAAATCATTTCAAACTACCTTTTGGAATTACTGAGCAATTTTGGTCTTCTTCATTAAAACTATATAATTATTTAATACCAGCTACTCGCCCCGGCTTCGCCCGGGTGTACATAATAATACATGTACATATGTAATACTTCCTCTTGAATCACACTATCTATTAAAAAAACCGCTTCAAAATCCGTTGCGTAGTTTTAAAGATTTAAGCATACATAGGGACAGACGGTGACCGCGACTTTGTTTTATACTATATAATGAAGTTACCAAGACATATACTTGAAAAATAAGTAATGTTAATATTTTTAAAAATAAACTAAGAGAATTTCTGCAAATTATAAATTATTATAATATTAATTAATACTTATTTATATGATAATTATGTTAAAGATATATAATATAATACAATATATTGTTAAACATTAAAATATGCACGCCTACTCATGAGCAGATATAGAAACTGTTAAATTTACCATTTTCCACCCTTATTTACTCTATATTCAGCAAAATAGTGATTGATTGATGAATTGACTGATTGAACGATGGAATGATTGATTGAAAGATTGATATTCTTTCGTATCAATGACAACCTAAATTATCATGATTGATGGATTGACTGATTGAACGATGGAATGATTGATTGAAAGATTGATATTCTTTCGTATCAATGACAAACTAAATTATCATGATTGATGGATTGACTGATTGAACGATGGAATGATTGATTGAATGATTGATATTCTTTCGTATCAATGACAACCTAAATTATCATGCTTGATGGATTGACTGATTGAACGATGGAATGATTGATTGAAAGATTGATATTCTTTCGTATCAATGACAACCTAAATTATCATGATTGATGGATTGACTGATTGAACGATGGAATGATTGATTGAAAGATTTCTTTCGTATCAATGACAACCTAAATTATCATGATTGATGGATTGACTGATTGAACGATGGAATGATTGACAAGGTTGATAGATCTAGCAACTAAATTATCATGATTGACAATCGATTGCGATGGAATGATTGATTGAAAGATTTCTTTCGTATCAATGACAACCTAAATTATCAGACCTAACGACTAGACCTAGCGAGTTCTATGGCACAATCGATCGCCTTGTTCAGGTGTTCCTTCCTGCAGGATGATGGATAGGAGCAACAAAGGACGCGACAGAAGAAGGGCCATGGTTTGGGGCGGGGCCCCACAGTGGCAGCCTCCCGGGCAGATACCACATGTCAGCAGGTGGTGCCTGCAGCGACCCATCTTAGTATGGAGTCTGTTGAAGACTTTCTATATATGCCAATGTAGGTCGCTGCCCGAGGAGTTTGGCTGGTCTAAGCAAGGTTATTGGGGTTGAAAGAATTCCTTAAAATCAGTACAACGAATAATACAACAAAGTGTTTATTATTTTAAAACATAACATAAATAACTTACAATTTAATGTAAGACTAATAAATAAATAATTATGTACAGTATAAGTTTTAACAATAAAAATAATTTATTAAATTATACAATAAATAAATTAAATATTTACAAAATACAGTAGACGCGATTACAAAATATGGTATGCCTATAGGTAACCTTGTCTACTCTTACTACATGTTTTGCTTAACTTGGGACTAGATGGCGCTACGATAATTCTAAAGTTATTATTAATTTAAAACAGATTATTATAACAAGGCAAACGTTGTTTAGACTTAAAATAAAAAAAATTTAGGTGTGGACTACCCCTAACATTTAGGGGGATGAAAAATAGATGTTGGCCGATTCTCAGACCTACTCAATACGCTCACAATATTTCATGAGAATCAGTCAAGCCGTTTCGGAGGAATATGGGAACAAAAACTGACACGAGAATTTTATATATAACATTAATAGTAAAACAAAAAATAAACAATCGTTTTGGTGTCTAAAAATCTGCGGCATATTCACATATAACATACCACAGTGCTGAGTGGAGCCATTTTAGTGTCTATATGTATGTAATAATGTTTTTTTTTTTGTTGGTTTTATGTTAAATTAACTTTAATTATTTATATACAGGTTAATTTATCTTTTTGTTAGTTTATGTTCATATTGTTACTAAAAGGTACTGATTAAATATTATTTCTTTCTTTCTTTAAATTTAACTTTTTATTGAGTAAGAACCATCAGCATCATAAATCTTCTTCTTATAGGAACTGTAATCCACTTCACCATAGTTAGGTTTACCATAACCGTGATAGGGCTGATCACTATCACGGTCATAATGACCATGATAATGGTGATAACTATCATGCTCGTAATATGGCTCGTGGTCGTGTTCGATGTACTCGGTGTGTTTCTTCTCTTTTATAAAATGTACGAACCATAGCAGAAAGTGCCAGCCTTTGGTTAGAAGCACGTAGAACATAATACCGTAGACCACTTTCAGTATGAATAATTTGATCGCCACAACGTAGAAGAAGTGAACTGTGAACAAAGAATTATAATTTAAAAACATAAAATTGTACATTTATTCGATTTAGATGTTATTTTGCGAAGTCCATTTCACTACACAATGGATTTATATTATTTTGTTTAATTCCGCTACAATTAGAATGTGTGAGACCACAAATATTCAGTGTGGAAACTTGTCAACCGTTACGACCTTCTCTAATGGTGATCAAATTCCGACCGTCATCGAGTGTACACCCATATCGCGACACGTGTTTCGCCTCTGAACGGGGCATCAAGTCAAGTTTCCACACCGAATATTTGTGGTCTCACACAAACAAACAAACAAACTTGCGGTTTATCTGATGGTAAGTGATTACCGCCGACCATGAGCATCCGCAACATCAGAGGAATTACAAGTGCGTTGCCGGCCTTTTAAGAAGGAATATGAATAGAAAGATGAAGAATATGTATACGATTTATTATTATTCAAATTCAAAATATCTTTATTCATGTAGGTCTATTACAGACTCCTATGCTATGTTAAATCTACCGTCAGTTCGGAATGATTTCGAGATGAGAAGTACTGAAGACTCGGCTCATATTCTCTTCAAATAAATGTACATGTTTACAGTAATACAGATTCATTTAAATTCAAATTTGGGAGAATAGAGTGACCACCAGCATATGCTATTGCAAAAGCAAAAATGTCTAATCAGTGTTCGTAACCCGAACGGACCAGTCCCTACAAGCATTCGTATTGTTATATGGTTATATCATATTTTAAAATAGTTTTTTATGCCACAAGTTAAATGTATACACTTATTTTTTAAGACTTATTGTATGTATATGTTCGAGTCAACATAGTTTTATACTAGTACAACTAGATGGCGCTGTATTTTTGCATACATATTTCTAAAACACGCTGTTAAGATTTTTTTGTCATACCTTATACAGAGATATGTAATTCTTTTTATATACATGATGATCCCGACGACCCCATAATGGCAGTAAACCTGCCCACCCATTCCACCCCGACCACACATTTATACACAGACACGACACCGTCCACGCTGGCGAAGACGACGACCTTATACACATCATATCGCGCATTCAACCGGGCGCCTGCGCAGCCGGGCGCTCCACACCGGCGCCCGCGGTCGCCCCTCCGATCGATCCCCGTCCAATTCAAACGGGGACCGATGTTACGACGGCTTAAGTCGAAGTTCGAACCCCTAGCGGTGCCCTCAGACTAAAGTCGTATTCGTCAGGCGGGAGTTGGCCTTCAGCCGCTCCATAAGTCCTTCCGCGGGTTTGGAGTGCCATCTGCACTCGCCCCCTATCGTCAGGTGAAGCTGTAAAGGCCAGCTGCGGCCAACAGCATTAGAGTAGTCCGAAAAAAAACATTATATACACGCTTAGAACAAAATACGGTTATAACCTAATAACTGTATTTCATTCAATAACTACAAACACTCCTGATCTCCAGAACCTTGATTTTCTACAGTATACAAAACATAATTTACATTATTACAAAAAAATATAACATAGAATCGAACACAGAGTCTTCTAAGAAAAATATATATATAACAATACCTACACTAATTAAAAATGTGATATATCCAATCCACATTTGTGTGTGGAGCGTAATGACCAGTTTTGCTAAATGCATCATGGTTGTATGGATTGTGCGTATGTTTGTAACCCGACCAGACATCGGGAACGTATTTGGAGATGGCCAGCGCCCACGCCAGTATTACTAATCCTTTCATCCCGGCCAGAACCACGGCAATGCCTAGTATTATTTTGTAAAGTCCAAACTTTACGGCCAGCATTATCGCAAGATTGGCTGCAACAGACAAATTGGACCTTTCAAACTTAATATATAATATCTTTTGTTGTGGTCGAGCGCAGTGATGGCTGCCTTATCCGTCATACTCGTGAACGAATGCTGCTTGTAGGGACTGCTCTACTCTAATCACTACGACTGATTTAATCTTATTGTGTACTAGCTGTACACGCGACTCCGTCCCCGTGGAATTTAACTTTATTTTTCTAAAATAAAAGTAGTCATTATTATATCAGCTACCTGTCAAAAAAGTCCCGTCAAAATCGGTCCATCTATTTCAGAGATTAGCCGGAACAAACAGACGTACAAAAATTGTAAAAAATGTTATTTTGGTGTATATACCGTATTTATATTCTTATGCATGTAGTAAAAAACGGTTATTTCAATATTACAAACAGACACTCCAATTTTATTAATATGTATAAATTTATATTTGACCTTAATAAATTAGTGCTAGTTGGTAGTATGTATTCACACGTTTCGACTTAAAAATGTGAACTTACAACGATTATTTAAAAGAGCAACACACAAGTTTCTTGCTCATTCTTCTTGTGAGACAGCTTTCCGAATGAAAGCTACATTAAAAAAAATATTATGACTATTCGAAAGTGCTTAAATTGTCACTACGACTGATTTAATCTTATTGTGTTTTTATATTTGAGCCTAAATAAATTAGTGCTGGTTGGTAGTTTGTATTCACACGTTTCAACTTGTAAAATATGAACTTACAAGGATTGTTTAAAAGAGCAACACACAAGTTTCTTGCTTATTCTTCTTGTGATGAGACAGCTTTCCGAATAAGCGATAGATTTAAAAAAATGTTGACTATTCAAAAGTGCTTAAATTAAGTTTATTTGAATAAATGATTTTCTATTCTATTCTATTCTATTCTAAGTTTATTTAAATCAAGGATTTTTATTTCTATTTGTTTTGTATTGTTATTAATAATTTCTTGGTTTTTTAAAATAATATACGCGAGGAAATTCATAACATTTCACAACTACCAAACACTTATCGGTGATAGGAAATTTCCGCTCTAGGTTACAAGTGTGCCAAATTAATTAAACGTCACATTTAGTTAACGTCATTTAAAAAACCGTGATTCTTGTACCTTTATAGTAAACTAGCTTTTGCTCGCGGCTTCGCTCGCGTTAATTTATGCCTTTAGGGGTGGAATTTATCAAAATCCTTTCTTAGGGGACGCCTACGTCATAGTAGCTTTATGCATCCAAAGTCTGAGCCCGATCGGTTTAAAATTGACAAAGTTTCATACAAACTTTCGTCCCCTATTTTATCCCCTTGGGGGTAGAATTAATCAAAATCCTTTCTTAGCGGATGCCTACGTCATAACATCTACCTGCATGCCAAATTTCAGCCCGATCCGTCCAGTGGTTTGGGCTGTGCGTTGATAGATCACTATGTCAGTCACCTTTGAGTAATATATATTTAGATAATCAATTTTTATGTCATATCTATTACTGTTTTTAACCCATCTACCGTAGTTATGGTCCGCCCTCTATAATAATTGAATTTAGGGTTAATACAGTTAGCTTGATAACCACACGAACGAAGTCGAGGGCACAGCTAGTCTTAGTATAAATGTAAATTCGCTAGTCCATTGCAGTACTCATAAATAACCCAGGACAATTCACACAGCGCCATCTAGTATTAAGCTAGCTAAAGCTTGTATTATGGGCACTAAATAACTAATACAAATACATATATTTTTGTTCGTAAATACATACATATTTTACATAGAAAACACCCAGACCGATACAAGCAAACATACACATGAATACAAATGTTTGTGCCGTGCTAGGAATCGAACCCGCGACCATCGGAAGAAAGGCGGTGTGCTAAACCGCTACACCACCGAGGTCGTAAAAAGATATAGATCCGTATAAACCTTACCTTGGTGTTTTAAAATATATTGCTGTTTTAATCTCGGTAGAACTTACTAACTACTTTTAAGAAACTAACATTTTAATAACTGCATTCACTAGCGTCCGTTGCAGTGCTCATAAAACCAACCAACGTTGTGCAACTTTATTAAATACTAGCTGCACACGCGACTTCTTCTAAAATAAAAGAATTTTCTACAATAAAAGTAGCCTAAGTTACTCCTTATTACATCAGCTATCTGCCAATAAAAGTCCCATCAAAATCGGTCCACCCATTTCAGAGATTAGCCGGAACAAACAGACATACAGAATTTTTTTTAAAAAAAATATTATTCTGGTGTATGTACCTTATTTATATTCATATGCATGTAGTAAAAAACGGTTATATCAATATTACAAACAGACACTCCAATTTTATTTATATGTATAGATTATAAAGCAATAAAATGTTTACCTAACTTTTCCACTACCATCGCTCATTATAAGTTGTTTATTAATAGAAATAACTACACTTTTCAATGCTCAACCATTCAGTTTCTAAGGCGTTGAGTAATTTTTTTAAATGCCTCAAGTATCCACCCTTCTGTTAAATAATTATTTGCTGTCGCTTGCATTTTAAATTCATGCTGTTAAATAGAATGTTTAGTGTATAAAAAAACTTTAAACATTTTTGTTATTATGAAATATCTTTAAAGAAACTTTAGTATAAAAGATAGATTATCTATATCTAATTGTATATTTGGGTAAGTTATGTCTAGATACCGATTTTAATCTATACATATATATATAAATAAAATTGGAGTGTCTGTTTGTAATATTGAAATAACCAGTTTTTACTACATGCATACGAATATAAATACGGTACATACACCAAAATAACATTTTTTACAATTTTCGTCTGTCTAGAATGTTCCAGTTAATCTCTGAAATGGCTGGACCGATTTTGACGGGACTTTTTTTGGGATGTAGCTGATGTAATAAGAAGTAACTTAGTCTACTTTTATTTTAGAAAAAAAGTTAAATTCCACGCGGACGAACTCGCGGGTACAGCTAGTTTTTATTATGTAAAGATATCCATTCCCCTATGATGTATTGCATATATCCTACACATACCCGCTTTTACACTACCCCACTCTCTATTATCCAAAGATTGATACAACTAAGTAAATTTACAGTAATAATTATTAAATATAATTATTAATATAAATCTAGCTTAATTAAATCTAATGTAATTTGCGAAAAATTTAAAAGAGGAACAAGCTGAAAACACTCCCTATCTTCATTCCCGTAATTAGCCCTGTACTTCCTGCTCTCGGCAGTTCCAAATTTGAAATTATCTTTTAATTTTTTTTCATAAAAATAATTTATTAAAAGTATTTTTTATTAGAAAGCTTTTAACGTTTATGAGATGAAATAAAATTAGTTACTCTAGCTTCCCTGTAACTGTGTGATTAGGTACTATTAGAATGAAATAATCTTTAAATTATTCAGTACATTTTCACACTCAGTATATTACAGACTAGCTGTTCCCGCGACTTCGTCCGCGTGGAATTTACCTTTATTTTTCTAAAATAAAAGTAGCCTAAGTTACTCCCTATTACATCAGCTACCTGCCAAAAACAGTCCCAAGCAACAATAAGCTAACAGAGATAAGTGGCTGGTGTATTTAAGTTAACAAAATAAAAAAAACTAAGAGTACTTACTCAGCAATGCATATTTTCCTTTCCCTCTAGCTTCAGACATATCTTTAACTTCTTCCTCATTACTGTTCACAGCACATATAAAGGTAGTAACTAGCAAGAAGAATATATACCGATTCATTTTTTTTATAATATTCCGTATTTGGATACTAGCTAAATTTTCTTTTTTTTTCACTGCGGTAATCTTCGGCCAGAGGTGAAGATATTAATGGTCGTATAATTTCGAACAGACAGACAGTACTGCAGTGATAACGAAGTGATAAATACACTGTGAAAGTGTTCAGTGGTTTTTTAGTGGTGACACGTTAAAAATGTTACACACTTAGGACCGGTGAAAATGTTTGCGTTACATTTTGTAATCTCATTGTTGGCATTTGGAAATTTTTTCACCATACGTTCCTGAATCACACGATTTCTTATTAGTAGTTCAGTTGTGTTATACACACATATATATATACTGTTTTAAATGTGGCGCGGTCATTATTCATATGTATAATAACTAGCTGTACCCACGACTTCATCCTTCTTCGTGGAATTTAACTTTATTTGTCAAAAATAAAAGAATTTTTCTAAAATAAATGTAGCCTAAGTAATTCCTTATCACATCAGCTACCTGCCAATAAAAGTCCCGTCAAAATCGGTCCCGCCAAACAGACAGACAGACAGGCGGATCAAAACTGCAAAAAATGTTAGGTTGGTGTATGTACCGTATTTATATTCATATGCATGTAGTAGAAAACGGTTACTTCAATATTACAAACAGACAATCCAATTTTATTTATATGTATAGATTAGGAAAATTACGAAATCTTTTATATATGTATATATACATGTATGTATATATAGGTATTATTTATATTTATTGAGTTTCAATTCAATAAAAATAACAAAGACTGCTCTTACAACGTACTGCGCCTAGCAGGATCCATAATGCTCTTACAATAAAACCCTCTTTTATATAGGGATTATGTCAACATCAATTATTTATTGCATCATTATAGAATACAAATAAACAGACTTACAAATCAAATAAAAGTATCTTTATTCATATAGGTCTATTACAGACACTTATATGTCAAATCTACCGTCAGTTCGGATGATTTCCAGATGAGAAGAACTGACAAGAAACTCAGCTCTTATTCTTTTCAAATAAATGTTGTACATGTTTACAATAATACAGATTCGTTTATTTAAATTCCAATTTGGGATATTATTATTATGATTAATTATATTAATACTTTTGACGTAATTGTAATAGCATATGCTGGTGCTCAAACTATTCTTCCAAATGTGTTTTTAAAAATTAAATAATATTTTTGTAATAATGTACAAGGTCATTTGAAAAGAATAAGAAAAAAAGTTACTTGTCAGTTCTTCTTAGATTGAAAGCAGTTCGAACTGACGGTAGATTTGACATATCATTAGAGTCTATAATAGACCTACATGAATAAAGATATTTTAATTTTGATTCATAAATACATGACAATAAACACAATGCCATCGAGTCGCGAACTGTGTATATATATCTTTATTCATATAGGTCTATTACAGACACTTATGATATGTCAAATCTACCGCCAGTTCGGAATGATTTCGAGATGAAAAGAACTGACAGGAAACTCAGCTCGTATTCTTTTCAAATAAATGTTGTAGATGTTTACAATAATACAGATTCGTTTTTAAATTCAAATTTGGGAGAATAGATTGATCAAAATAATGGGACTAATATAAATTGATTGTCTTACAATGGTAGACAATCATAGACATGTGGAAAAAAATTATAAGAAAAAGAGAAATTGGCAGGATTCAAACATTGGTTAGTTCTACAGTGCAGGGATGATCATTAAAATATAAGAGTTGAAATTATGTTCTAACAGTCCAGTCATCTCGATTTTGCGAGAAGCAAACATCCAACCATCCATCCAGTATATATATAATATTAATCAGATGTAATAGCATTGATACCTATAGATAAGTAGATAAATTCTTTATTCACAATTACAGACTATGTGTCTGTAATTGTGAATAAAGAATTTATACATACATGAGATACAGAAAAAACACGAATTAATAAAAGAAATGTAGGTGGCTTTATGTGCCGCAAAAGTGAAAAGGTAGCCAACTCTGCATAAAGCTATAGATAACTCTGCAGGGCTGATATTCTGATAACAAACAAAATCCTTTTTTATCTGAAAGTATAGTTTTATTATAGATTGGGACCAATTTTTTGATAGTTGAACAATCGGTTTTTTTTTTAAAAAAACGACTATGAATAATTTTCTTAAATATAAAATTCTCGTGTCACAATGTTAGTTCTCCTCTGAAACGGCTTGACCGATTTTTATGAAATTTTATATGCATATTCAGTAGGTCTGAGAATTGGCTACTATCTATTTTTCATACCTTTAATTGATAAGAGTAATCCACCCCTAACATTATTTTTTTATTTATTGGCCAAACCTTTTTATTTAAATTTTTTTTATTATGTGGCATTAAAAAATGCAACATTCAACCCTAAATTTTCACCCGTCTATCAGCAACCCCTATTTTTTTATAGCGTTATTAATTTATATTGAAAAACAACGTTTGCCGGAACAGCTAGTTTCATATAAATGAAACGTTGAAGTAATAAAAATATATATGAATAATATAAAATATATTCTGTCGCCAGCACTTCGATTTCTCTGAATTTTAGATATATAAATATAACATACTATAAATAACTTCATAATTAAATACTAAAATAATTATCCCGAAGTTACCAACTCTTCTGGAGTGATGGAACCTTTGAAGTTCATTCAGCGAATCAAATATAAAATTAATAGTTTTGATGTTGAATTTCCCTTGGTTGGAGTCTCTACAATACTAGACTAAGATACATACCTACAGCACACGTACCATTAAATATCTTCACCTAATAATTGTATTTTATAGCCCAAGATGACGGTCAGTCATTCGTCTTGCTAGTAAATGTGAAAGTTCTTGTATATATGTCCTCAACACAGGTAAGAACGATCCCCACACATGAAACCTGGATCGTGTTTCCTTTGGCAGGTAACAGGTAACAAAGGTGTAAAAATTTTCATATAAAATTCGTTAATTTGTGTAACTCAATTTTTTCATATATTGTTCGTAACAGTATTATAACTTGCGCTGCCAGACACTTAGTTTGGTTCCAACCCCCCGCCAGACACCTCTAATCTATTTTTTTTTACATTTCGCCCAATGTACATAATATTTTTCTAAATTATAACATATGTGTTATTCTGATGAATAAGCTATATTACTGTGGTTCATTAAAAACTGTTCAGTACCGCGTTACCGCGGTTTCCGCAATTTCATCCGCGTGGAATATAACTTTATTTTTCTAAAATAAAAGTAGCCTATGTTGCTCCTTATTACATCAGCTACCTGCGAAAAAAAGTCCCGTCATAATCGGTCCAGCCATTTCAGAGATTAGCCGGATTTCTGTCTGTCTGCATGTTTTACAGACAGACAGACAAAAATTGTAAAAAATTACATTTTGGTGTATGTACCATATTTATATTCATATGCATGTAGTAAAAAACGGTTATTTCAATATTACAAAGAGACACTCCAATTTTATTTATATGTATAGATATAAAATAGAAGGTTACAGGAGAGTTTTCTTAAGAACAATTGATACTATAATTTTTATATCCTGAACCCCAAACAAAGTGAGTTTGTACAAAGTCATCCGCGTGGGAATCACTATTGTAAGAAGCACTAATTAATGATGACGACTTTGACGAAGCCGGCTACCGCAAGGTAAACCCTAGCTTGCAGCTTCTAGTTTTATTCTATTCAAATGAACTTAAACACTTTTGTATAGTCAATACCTACTTTTTTAATCTACCGCTCATTCGGACAGCTGTCTCATCACAAGAAGAAAAAGCAAGAAAATTGAGTTGTTGCACTTTTCAATAATGTAACTTTACATTTTTAAGTTGAAATGTGTGAAAGATAAGATGAGCATGCGGTCAGATCAGTTAGCCCATCGTGATAAATTCACCAGGAATTTATTAGGATGGTTTTAAGGTGTATGACGAATTTCGGCCACTACGCGATCACTAGTATATACACCTTGGAGCAATTCTCGTAACGATTGTTAGATATATCAACTCTATGTACTAGTAAAAGTATGTATTATAATAAAATAACAACTGTATAACATTAATTTAACTATGTCTCTAACACAATCCACTTTAGCAATTAAAATACAACCAGCACATCCTGTGCTCAAAGACCGATGCCGCGGCATACAAAAACCCTCCCGTTTATACAGAGAAGATATGAGTGGGGGTTATATGCAACTAGTTTAACGATACCGAGTAATAATGAAACTACCTTCTTTTAATATAAAATATCAGATTTTTCGACAACATCGATGTGAACCCTAACACGATAGTGAAATCCTCGTAAAGTGAATTGCATGGTTTAGAAGTTAACGGTGAATCAGACAGGCTAAAACAACGACTTTCTTTTACACTTAACCAGACTAATTTGTTATATAACTACAGACATACAACATTAATTGTACATACTTACAAAGTTAAGTATTCTAATGAATATAAGCGGATTATACGAAACAGGTTTCGTTTGAAAATCCCCAGTTCGTTATAGGTAACAAAATTAAATTTTAAGCCTCGGAAAACAATAGTTTGAATGGGTTGAGAAAATTGAATTATATAACGAAGTTTTCAAAACATAATTTGGATTTATTTAATAAATCTATTCTTATCAAAACCACGGCGAAGTTGTGTAGATGCTTTGTAATAATGTAACAATATGTTTCGTCGAGAACTTTCTAGATTAATTTTATCGTTAGTTTTTTTTTTAACTACCCTCAATATCGATGTTTATTACTCGCAACGCATAGCAATATCAGTCGTACAAGATGCCATGCACCACGCCCAGTTGTCTTATGACTACGGCGTGAATGTATGTCCATCGTTTCGAAAATTATCTCTGCATTCGACCTCACGTACTCATTGCTTTCTTGATTCAATTATTTTAGAAATA